CAACTTCCACATGCTTAGTCCTATCATGTTGGACAGGATTGTGAGCTATGTTGATTGCAACTTTATTATCATAGTAAAGCTTCATAGGCATCGGACTTGAGATTTTAAGATCTTCAAGTAATCTTTTCAACCACAAACATACACAAATTCCATGAGCAACTGCTCTGAACTCAGCTTCTGCACTACTCCTTGCTACAACGGTTTGCTTCTTGCTCCTCCAAGTTACCAAGTTTCCACCAACATAAGTACAGTAACCTGAAGTAGACCTTCTATCCGTCACATTACCTGCCCAATCAACATCGGTATAGGCTTCAATCCTTAGATGGCCGTGGTTTTCAAACAACAAACCTCTTCCAGGTGATCCCTTTAGGTATTTGAGAATCCGGTAGATTGCCTCAAAGTGTTCTTCTCCTGGTGATTGCATAAATTGACTCACTACACTCGCTGCAAAGGCAATATCTGGCCGAGTGTGTGAAAGATAAACGAGTCTTCCAATCAGCCTTTGAAATTGCTCTCGGTTCACCACTTTTTCTGCACTCTCTGCCTGCAACTTTAAATTGGGCTCTATAGGTGTTTTCATTGGTTTGCAGCCAAGTAAACTTGTTTCCATAAGTAGATCCAACACATACTTCCTTTGAGAGACAAATATGCCTCTCTTGGATCTGGCAAATTCCATTCCTAGGAAGTATTTTAAAGCTCCAAGATCTTTTATCTCAATTTCCTTTAAAGAAAAGACTTCAAATCCTCCAATTCTCTTTTATTATCTCCTGTCGAGATTATTTCATCCACATAAACAATAAGTATGGCTATCTTACCATCACTTGAATGTTTGTAGAACAGAGTGTGATCAGCCTGACTTTGACGATATCGATGACCCTTGATAGCTTTAGTGAATCGATCAAACCATGCTTTGGGTGATTGTTTCAAACGATATAGCGATTTCTTCAATTTACACACCTTTCCAGCTCCATAATCATTTTCAAATCCTGGTGGTAGATTCATAAACACTTTTTCCTCTAGCTCACCATTTAAGAATGCATTCTTTACATCTAATTGCTACAATGGCCAACTCAAGCTTGCAGCAAGAGACAACACCACCTGTATGGATGGTACAAGAGCGAGTACCCTTTCTAATTGCAATAGGAATATCAAGGTCATGAGAAAGGCTCTCTTCATTGCTGGTTTCAGGAATTAAAGATGGATTAGAGACAGAAATACCTGTTTCATTCAAGATGCCTTTATCCGGAGAATTTTCTTGGCAGGTAGTAGGTTGATGCTCTATTTTTTGATCCTTCCTTCTTCGAGAGTAAACACGGAGCTCAGATTGAGGTTGGATTTGAAGTGGTTCTCCCCCTGAAGTGTAGTCTATAATGTTTGACTCAATAGGCTTCGGAGAGGTTGAAATAGTGGGTTCAGTAGGTAAGGTAGAGTTTGGTGAAACACTCGGCAATGGTAAAGAGCCCAATACTTCCCATAAATGGTCTTCCCTCTCATTACTCTTCCCCTGAAGAGTATTTTTGGTGAAATAGGGTTGAGTCTCAAAAAAGGTCACATCCATACTCACAAAGAATTTTTTTAGAGGTGAGGTTATAACATTTATACCCTTTCTGTTTAGGAGAGTACCCAACGAACACACACTTTTCAGCCCTAGGATCAAGTTTTGAACGGTCCTGTGTATGAACATGTACAAAGGCAATGCATCCAAACACTTTAAGAGGTAATGAGGTGAAGATCCTAATATGGGGAAAAACTGACAGCAAGCTGTTTAGGGGCGTCTCAGATTTCAACACCCTAATTGGCATTCTGTTGATCAAGTATGAAGCTGTAAGAACAGCCTCACCCCATAGATATTTAGGAACCCCCATAGTGAACATTATTGCCCTAGCAACCTCAAGTAAATGGTGGTTTTTTCTCTCAGCTATCCCGTTTTGTTGTGGGGTATCAAAGCAAGTGGACTTATACAAAATACCTTTTTCTTTCAAAAAATCACCAGCAATAGAGTTAAAGAATTCTTTTCTGTTGTCGGTTCTAAATACTTGAATCCAGGTTTGAAACTGGTTTTCAATCATGGCATAGAACGCTTTAAACACTCTAGCAGCCTCAGATTTTTCTCTCAAAAGATATACCCAGCACACTCTAGTATGATCATCAATGAAAGTGATGAACCACCTAGTTCCAGTCACATTAGTAACCCGAGGAGGCCCCCACACATCACTATGAATCAAATAAAATGGTTTGGATGCTTGTTTTAAATGAGAAGGATAAGAAACATGATGATGCTTTGATAATTGACAAGATTCACATTAAAATAACAAATGATTTAAATTTTTTAACAGGGATGGAAACAAATGTTTTAAGTAAGAGAAACTGGGATGGCCTAACCTATAGTGCCATAACATAATTTCACTACTACTTGCAGCTTGAGCTTGTCCACTCTTGAAGATTTCATTATCAAAATAATAGAGTCCATCAACCATCCTAGCACTGCCAATCATCTTCCTTGAATATAGGTCCTGAAATTCACAGTGAGAACAAGAAATTTGACAACACAGTTAGAATCTTTGGTGAGTTTACTAACTGATAAAAGATTGCATGAAAGGTTAGGCACATGGAGGACAGATTTTAAAAGAAGGTTTTCTGAGACAACTATAGAACCTTTTCCTGCAACTGGAGACAAACTACCATCAGCAATACGAATTTTGAAGTGACCAGAATTTGGAAAATATGTACTAAACAAATGTGATAAACTAGTCATATGATCAGATGCACCAGAATCAATAATCCAAGGTACCGGATTTAAAGAACTAGTGAGAGCACTTAAAGAGCTACCTTTTTGGGCAAGAGAACCTGAGGAGACACTTGAAACTTGAGTTTGGTTCAGCAGTTTGGAGAGATGATCAAGCTGCTCCTTACTGAATGGAGTTGTCTCGGTTTCAGTAGTAGCCTGCATTCCACACCTATTCTTGTCTCTAAATCTGCCTACCTTCCAATTTGCTGGTTTTCCATGTAGTTTCCACCATGTTTCTCGTGTGTGCCTTGGTTTGTTACAGAAATCACACCAGATCTTGGTTTTCTCTTCAATCTTCCGCTGTGGGTGATTTGTTGGTTTTGGATTAACTGCAGTTGCTGCCATTTCAGTGGCTGTTACATTGAGTGCAGAGTTCTCACCATAAGTGCTAGAAGATTTCTTTCCCATCATCTCCAACCTGGGGCTTTCTTCCCTCCTAACTTCCGAGAAGACTTCTCTAGTGGTAGGCAGTGGCTCTTTGCCTAGAATACGTCTTCTCACTTCGTCTAACTCAGCATTGAGTCCGGCCAAAAATTCAAAACCACGGTCCTTCTCAACTGTTTTCTTGAACTGGGCACTATCACATGCGCACTTCCATTCAAAATCATAAAAGAGGTCAAGTTCTTGCCACAAACCTTGTAATATGTTGTAATTCTTTGTAACTCCTTGTCTTGTTTCTCGGATCCTTGTTTTAATTTCATAGACTTGTGCAGAATTGCCCAAGTCTGAGTATGTCTCACTCACTGCGTCCCATAATTCTTTGGCAGTGGAGAGATACATAAATGTCTGGCGTATCTCCGATTCCATGGAGTTCACTAGCCATGACATAATCATGGAATTTTTTGCATCCCAAACGGCGTATGCTGGATCATCTTCCTTTGGGGCCTGCTTTGCACCAGTTAAATAACCAATCTTCCCCCGCCCTCGGACGAACAACTGTACGGATTGAGACCACCGTAGAAAAATCTGTCCATTCAACCGATGAGTGGCAATTTGGAGGATTGGGTTGTCACCTGAACCGGATGAAGTGATATTGGATTTCCGAGCATTTGAGGAATCGACCAAAACTTCCTCAATGGAGATTCCAGACATCGCGGATTCAACCAAAGAAATCGTCCAGAAATGACGAAGAGAAATAGAAGAATAAGTCTTCTATAATTCTGGTATAAACGACCAGAATTATAGATGAATATTTACTGATTTTATTGGATAATCAGCATAACAATGGATTAATTTACCATCCTAGTGAGGGCGGCTCTGATACCATGAACACAAAGGTGAAAAAGAATAAATTCTGATATTCTGTTTTCATATATCATATGTTAGTTTACAGGCCTATATAGATATAGAAGTGTATTACAAATTATATCTAAGGAAAAGATATATACAGATCATAACTATCTAACGATGGATAATTCCTAAAAATCCTCCATAACTAATTTTCTAACAATTCAACCTAGATCTTTCCACATAAGTATATGAATTTTGCACTTGTAGTGACACTCCACTGGGAATTCAATTTCGGATCTGACATATCTTCTTTGTAATGACAAACAATTTCTTCTGTGTTTATCTACCATATTTCTTCTATATACTTCACACCTAAATTGACTTTCTTGCAATATTCTGTAAGTTTGACACCAAGTGAAGGCATATGAAATTAAATCTTTTTCCATCAGTTATTTGTGAAAATCTCAGATTGGGAGCATCGCTGATGCTTCTCTAGAAAATTAATATCTTGGATGCAGTGTTGGTTTGGTTATCTTGATGGTATAAGTATTTAAGACATAGCCTTTAAATTTTAATAGTTTACAATTTGGTTGTTGACTTTGTGTCAAATTAGAGCAGGCAAGATACTGGGAAACCTCAGTACCTCACTGCTTCTACCTGGTAATTGTAATACATTGACTTTTTTTGTGTGTGTGGGTGGGTGGGGTTGGGGATGTTGGTTGAGGGGGGAAGCTGGCCATAAATATGGGAAGTGTTGATAATATAAATACTTAAATTGCACCTTCTTTAACAGTTTCAGCCATTAAAAGCAATGATTTTAGTTAATTCCGAATATCTGGAACTAAGATGCTTAATTATAATACCTCTGAATCTATAAAAACAGTAGCTGAGTTTATATTACACTTGGTGACTCAAAAATTTGCTGTCTCTTACTTGTGTGGTTTCATTAACAGTGCATCCTCTTTTTGGTTTTACCAACTAGGCTTTCACCACTTCCTATATCTGCTGTTTCTGGGACTGGAACTGGAGAGCTCCTTGATCTTGTTTGTTCAGGGTTAAAAAAATTTGAGGTACTGGGTTCTTACAACTCAGCTTTCAGTGTCATGTATCTCAGCATTTCATGATTATTGACTTTCGGCGAATCTATGTTTCAAGTCTACCATATATATATATATATATATATATATGTATTTTGTTTTTTTATTTGGTACTCACACACATGCCTCCACTGAGGCTTAAATCCCTGACCTCCCTTTGGGAAGTAGGGGCTTGGTACCGCTAGGCCACTGGCCTGTTGGTTTCAAGCCTACCATTTTAATCACTTAGAAACAAAATGAACTGTTTGCTATCTCTAACTTAGTTCTGACAGGTTATTCCATTGATCTTACGTACCAGGCCCCTGACCTCCCTTTAGGAAGTAGGGGCCCGGTACCGCTATGTCACTGGCTTGTTGGTTTCTAGCCTACCATTTTAGTCACTTAGAAACAAAATGGACTGTTTGCTATCTCTAATTTAGTTCTGACAGGTTATTCCATTGATCTTACGAACAAATTGAAATGGAAAATCAAATCAACTATGCTTTTGATGTCCAAATTGTGCTCTTTATTTAAAATTTGATTTTGCATAGATTCAGTATTACACACTTTATCCAATGAGTTATCAATTACGCTGACAATACAATGGGTCGCTGACTAGATTAGTTGATTTAAAAATAATAAAATATTCTATTCTCCAAGTAGGATTTAAAGTTGACTGTTTCACGAAGGAATTATATGAAGTTTGAGGTGTACAAAGCAACTATATTGAAATATCGAGGCACTTGATACATGAGTAGAAATATAAAAAGAAGAGAAAAGAGAGAATTGCGTAAAGGCTTGAATGAGATGAATTACCCATTCACAGCTCTAGTATTTATAGATAAAATGAGCACATGCTCATATTACAAGAAAGGAAACAAAATCAAATCATTGCATATTCTATGCCTAGACATATGCGTAAATAAAGTCAAATACATGATTAGTGGCTATCATATCCCACAGATAATATGGTAAATCACATCCCATTATTTGGGCCTATCATATCTTGGCTATTATGGTAAGTTATACCATAAATCGTGGTATCATAAATGCTAACACTCCCCCTCAAGTTGGTGCGTGGATATCTGAAATGCCCAACTTGGACAATGCATTCTCAAACACAATCTTGTTGACACCCTTTGTAAGAATGTTTGCAAGCTGCTGAGAGCTTGTGACAAATGGAGTGCAAATTTGACTAGAGATGATCTTCTCTCGAATGAAGTGACGGTCCACCTCTATATGCTTAGTCCTGTTATGCTGAACGGGATTTGCTGCTATGCTAATGGCAAACTTGTTGTCGCAGTAGAGTGAGCATGGAAGCGACACTAGAAGGCACAAGTCTATCATCAAGGTTTTCAGCCAAAGCAACTCACGTACCCCAAGAGCCATAGCCCTATACTCTGCCTTTGCACTAGATCGAGAGACAACATCTTGCTTCTTACTGCGCCAAGTAACCAAGTTACCACCAATAGTGGTACTATAACCTGAAGTAGACCTCCTATCTGAAATTGATCCTGCATAATCAGCATCTGTCCAAGCCTCAACACGTAAGTGACCATGATTAGCAAACAAAATACTATGGCCTGGACACCCTTTTAAGTAGCGAAGAATCCGAATAGCTGCATCAAGGTGTGGGGCACGAGGAGAGTGCATGAATTGACTTACGACATTCACGGCATAAGCAATGTCAGGTTGAGTCATGGATAAATAGATGAGCTTCCCCACAAGTTGTTGATGTTGACCAATATCTGACAACAACTCCCCCTCAGAATCAGCCAACCGATGATTCTGCTCAATCGGAGTATCAGCAGGACGAGCGCCAAGCTGACCAGAAGCAGAAAGCAAGTCAAGAACATACTTGTGTTGAGAGATGAAAATGGCAGTCTTTGAGCGAGCCACCTCAATGCCTAAGAAGTATCATAAGGGACCAAGATCCTTAATCTCAAACTGACGGCCAAGATAGCTCTTAACCTCATTAATTCCGGTAGTATCATCGCCGGTAAGAATAAAATCATCGACATACACAATGAGAGCAACTGTCTTGCCGCCTGAATGACGTAAAAACAAGGTATGATCAGCTGCACTTTGATGGAAACCAAACTTGAGCATAGCAATGCCAAAGCGATCAGACCAAGCTCGAGGAGACTGCTTGAGGCCATATAGAGAACGACGAAGACGACATACCATACCAGAATGAGCAGGAGAACGAAAGCCCGGAGGAGGAACCATGTACACCTCCTTTTGCAAATCACCATTAAGAAAGGCATTCTTGACATCTAACTGAAATAGAGGCCAAGATCGAATTGCAGCAACGGAAAATAATACACGGATGGTATTCATCTTGGCAACAGGGGCAAAAGTCTCTTGATAATCTATGCCATAACTCTGAGCATAACCCTTGGCAACCAATCGGGCCTTGTAACGAGCAACTGACCCATCTGGATTATGCTTGACTGTAAACACCCAACGACAACCCACAACATTTCGTCCAATAGGAAGCGGAACCATGTCCCAAGTCTGATTTTTCTCAAGTGCTTGTAGTTCTTCTGTCATAGCATCTCGCCATTGAGGTTGTGCTAGCGCATCTGCAACACTGGAAGGAACAGGAACCGAGGCAACAGAAACAAGAAAACTCCGATAGGAGGGTGAGAGAGCATAATCAGAAACAAAATTAAAGATAGGGTAAGTACAGGAACGTTTATCCTTTCGAAGAGCAATGGGGCGATCATCAAGCGAAACAATAGCTTCAGAAGGCGGAGTTGGTGCCGAAGGAACAAGGCAGTCGATTGTGGGAGTAGAAGCTTGTATCTGTTGTCTCCGATTATAAACCTGTGAAAAAGGAACAATTCCCCCTGCTGGTGGGGTATCACGAGGATGAATTATAGAAGAAGAAACAGGTAATGGTAGAGGAGTTGAAGACGGAAGAAGGTGATCATCCATTATATTCAATGGGAACCATTCACTCTGAGAACCAACTGAACCACTATAGTATGGTGTATGCTCAAAGAAAGAAACATCCATGGATATAAACCGTCGACGACTGGGAGGATGGTAACACCTATAACCTTTTTGAGAGTGATAATAGCCCAAAAACACACACTTCAAAGCCTTGGGGTCAAGCTTTGTACGAGTTTGCCCCAACTGCTGAACAAAGCACACATACTCGAAGACTCGTGGAGGAATAAAAAATAGAGATGAATTGGGATGTAAGATTGAGAGTGGGGCTGCAAAGTTAAGAATCCTAAAAGGAGTCCTATTAATGATGTAAACAGCGGTAAGAACTGCATCTCCCCAAAATGACTAGGGAACATTCATGCCAATGCAGATTGCTCTGGCTAAGTCAAGGATGTGGCGATTCTTTCTCTCAGAACGACCATTCTGTTGAGGAGTTTTAACATTAGCCAGCTGATGCGCAATCCCAAATTCTGTACATAACCGTTGTACCTCCCCATAAGTGTACTCTGTACCCTGGTCAGATCGGAATTTTTTAATGGTACGACCAAATTGAGTCTGAACCATTGTCGTAAAATTTTTAAAAATGGTGTATACCTCATTTTTGGTTTTCATAAGATAAACCCAAGTAACACGACTATGATCATCAATGAACAACACGAAATATTGAAATCCAAGACTAGAAGTAACTGGGCAAGGACCCCACACATCTGAATGAACAAGATCAAAAGGTGTTAAAGCAGATTTATTACTACTAGCAGGATAATTGGAACGAATATGTTTAGCCATATGACATGTTTCACAGGATAAATCTGACACTGCCACGTTACAAAATAAGGAAGGAAATAAATGTTTCAAATAACCAAAAGAAATATGTCCTAAACGCATGTACCAACGCATAAGCTGGGCTTTATTAGATGAAACAAGATTAGAAAATGAAGCTGAATGTGCTTACGGTGACAAAGGAGCATCCAACAGGTATAAACCGTCCACTTCACGCCCACTGCCAATCGTCCGTTTCGACACCAGATCCTGAAAAATACAATGAGAGGGAAAGAACGTTACACTACAATTTAATTGTTTGGTAACGCTACTAACAGAAATAAGATTTGTAGCCAACTTTGGAACATGAAGTGTATTTGACAAAGTTAATGAAGGAGTAACTGATATGTGACCCTTCCCAGCAATGGAAGATGGAGAGCCATCCGCAAGGCGGACCTTGCGTTGGCCAGAGCAGATACTATAAGATTGGAAGAGTGAGGACATACCAGTCATATTGTCTGAAGCACCAGAATCAATGATCCATGGTGTTGAAGATGTAGATACGCTATGTGTAGATGCAATAGTACCTGAGTGGGCATAAGTGGAGGTTGGCTGAGATGATGCCTCCATTCGGTTGAAGAATTGCTTGAACTTGTCCAAATCAGCTTGAGTCAAGGTAACTGTGGCAGAAGATGTAGAGGCAGGGTTGTCATGAGTTGACAACGAGACTGGTTGTGTAACAGAATGTGCAGAGGATCGAGGTTGTTGTTTCTGTTGCGATGGACGTCCATGTAGAGCATAACAACGAGATTTGATGTGACCAATTTTTCCGCAATGGTCACACCGTCCACGTTGTCGTCCCAGAGGAGGACCGGTGGTAGTGCTTTGAACTGACTGGGATGGTGAAGTTCCTGAAAGGTTGGGAATCCGAACTGCCATAGCAGAACGATCAACAGAAGCAACACCTAATGGATGAGTCTGGCGGCTCTCATTTGACAACACATAGGAATATGCATCCTCAAGAGTAGGGAATGAAGATAAGCCCAATAAATGAACACGAGCATACTCAAACTCGTCGTTCAACCCGGCAAGAAACTGAAACACTCGATTCTTCTCCACAATTCCTGCATATAAAACTGCATCATCCGGATCCTTCCAAGAGTGGAAGGAATCATAATATGACATCTCCTCCCAAATAGCACGAAGCTTGGCGATGTAACCTGAAACTGTCAAGTCACCCTGAGAAATCCTGGTGATATCTCACCCCAGCTGGAAAATTC